GTCATGTTGAACCCAGCTTGCTAGTATTTTGTTGAAGATTTTTGCAACTCTGTTCATCAGTGATACTGGCCCGTAATTCTCTTTTCTTGTGCTCTTGTCTGGTTTTGGTATCAGGGTAAGGCTGGTCTCGTAAAATTAGTTTGAAAGAGGTCCCTCCTCTTCTCATTCTTGGAGAGTTTGAGCAGGATTGGTGTTCATTCTTTGAGCATTTGGTGGAATCCTCCAGTAGAGCCGTCTGGTCCTGGACTTTGGTTTTTTGGGTGGTTTTCGATGAGTGATTCGATCTCCTCACTAGTACTCCGTCTGTTCAGATTCTCTATCTCATCACGATTCAGTCTTGGTAGTTTGTGTTTTTCTAGGGCTTCATCCATTTTTCCTAGGTTGTCTGGTTTGTTGGCATAAAATTGTTCATAACAATCTCTTCCGATCCTTTGTATTTCTATGGCAGAGACATAATGTCTCCTCTTTCTTGATGTTATTTATTTGAGCCCTCTCTCTTTTTTTTTCTTGGTGAGTCTTGCTAAAGTTTTGTCCATTTTGTTTATCTTTGTAAAGAACCAGCATCATTTCAGCAATTGTTTCTGTTGTCTTTTTAATATCTATTGCATTTATTTCTGCTCTAATCATTGTTATTTCCTTCCTTCTACTAAGTTTGGGAAGATGCATTTAAATGTTCTGCTGAGAGCTGGGGCAGCACACTGGGTGTGGCGGGATGCCGTACACCTGTGTGTGCTGGGCCAGGGAAGGGGGAGGGGTTCTGAAGGTAATTGAAAGGTCTTTCTTGGGTTGTCCCCTTACACTGCTTCCTGTGGGCATAACTCACACCCGTGAGCTCACACGCTGCACAGTGTTCCTGGCAAGCCGTACTCCTGTTGCCATTTTAAACACTTTTCCCCCCTAAAGGCAGTTCTCATGTGGAGAGGGCAAGGCGCTCGTAGAGTGTGGTTAATACGGAGGAGGAACCCAGAGGCAGCTTGGTCCCCTGGACCACGGACCGGCTCGAGGCCTCTCCACGCTCACACTTCACACCTTCATTGATCTTGAGGGCGATGCGCTTTCAAATGATCGTGATTTTAGCTCTGGAACCGACATATTCTGTAAGTTTCGTGTTCGAACACATGCAGTTTCGTGAACGGCAAAAACAGCTTCTGGATATTAGGGAAACAGATGGATTTCAACAAGCACGCGGAGTCTGCCCTCGGGGGTGGCGTGTCGGGACCTGACGCTAGATCCGTCGCGTGGATTGACTCGATCTCTGGCAGCCGGAATCCGTCCTTTCAGAACGGCTCAGGCATCTCCAGTCCGCCTTAGAGGGAACGTTCTCACTGTAAAAGTAGCAGTTTTGCCTTTGGCTTTGTAGCGAGTTTTTATGTCTTTGGGAACATGACGTCTTACTTCTGGAAGACACTCTAGTGGGTTGAAGGACCACGGACAAACCGAGAACAATGTAACGAGACTTTTCACTTGCTTGGTGGTAGGTCTGATCAGTGGGCAAAACAGTGGGGGCCACCGACGGGCGTCTGAGCGCCCACGCCTGCCGGAGTGTGGGCTGACGGGAAGAAGGACCCCAGACCTGGGGGGAGGCTGACTTCTGCTCCTACCGCTTACTAGTGGTGCAAACCCGGGCAGGCCCTGTAGTCTCCCTCGGCCTTATTATTACCACCTGGAGAAAACGACTTTTCAGTTTCTGCAAGATTAATTAGATAATGTGCATAAGACACCCAGTGTATTTCACTTTACTGAAAATTTCCATAAAGTACCTGAAGAGTGTTATCACAAAACTTGTTACAAGGCATCTTGAGAAGGAAGGGTAAACTTGTTCACATGATTTTATTGACAAGAAAGACAAATTCAAATGATCTGTTACTTAAATGTATAAAAATAGGGGAAGAACCTCTGACTTAGGCAACGGGCTCCCACACGCACTGTGGCCCTGAGTGTGGTCCACGCGGTCTTGCCGTCATGGTGAAGGCCAGCTTGCCAGCCCTGTCCATCCGCCTGACTGATCAGCTCGGTCTCTTGTCAACCCTTTTTTGACACGCAGGTTTCTGGAGTTGGGGCTCCGATGAAAAGCCCAGGACCGATGGGAGGGACTGTCTGTCCCTAAGGGGAACGGAGCGGCCTGGACGATTCCTCTTGCCAGGGTTCAGCAGAAGCTGGGAGAAGGGCTAATAGAGGAAGTGAGTGCAGGCAGCTGGTGACACGGGTCTGTGCTCTGACGGGGGACGGGCAGCATGGTGATGCGGAGGTAAGCTTTGGAAGACAGGATCAGGGGACCTTTCCTTAAATGGCCCACAGTTGCCTATGGAGGTAGGCAAGGGAGCTGACAGAAAGTGTTCTCGCCAAACACAAGTTACCCAGAAATAATAGTCACATTGTATCGTAAGAATAAGGTCCTTCTGTCGTGTTACCATAGCCAAAGAAACAAAGTAAGCTGGTGTGCCCCATAAAGGGTTTTGCCAACCGCCTCGGTGCGTTCTAGATCTAAGCCCCGGGTGAATACTGGGTCTTTAATTTCTCTGATTCCAAGTTCTGGGTCCAGAGGCATGTTTTAGAATGACCTCTTACCGTTTGTTACTTTCAAAAATCCCGCCTCTCCGAGAGAAGGGAACTTCTCCTTACTTTTCTGTCCTATAGGAACTACTTGGAAAACACCGAGTCGATTATTTCCTGTCTAAATTTTGAAATGCTGTATCCATGTTCTTACTAGCGGGAGGCGATTATCTGGTATTCCTGCCAGTCATAACTTCCTGGAGACTTCAGAGTGGCAGACATAACTATGACCCAGTGTTTTACATAAACGTATTATTTTTCACCATAAAAATGGAAACTGGCTACGTCCTGCAGACTCCACCACGAGCATCTCTGAGAACGTGACACTTGGCCGGCAGCGCCCGTGGGCTCTTCTCGTTGTTAGAGTCTTTGAAGGACCTAACCCTGCCTCATTTGTCAGAGACGTAGACGTACCCATCACATTTATCTTTCTGGAATTCCCGGAGGATCTGCAGGTGTGACAGACAAGTTGACACATCTTCCTTGACTAAAAGGCTCTGAGAGCCAAGTTGTCTTCTGCCCCCGTGTGTCCCCACGCCTCCAGAGGAGGGGAAGGAGGACTGCCAGCACCACAGGCTTTGGCATCCCGATCTGGTCCTGATCTTGTTGCCTGTGAGATCTGGCGAAGGTGTTTGACCTCTTTGCTTTTATTTCTCATCTGTAAAATGAGGATCGTTAAGTCTTGTTGTCTGCCATCCTCGAAGTCAGTGAGGGTAAAGGAGTGGACCTGTGTCCAAGCCTTCCGAGGTCTATAGAAAACTGCACAATATCAAATCAGCATTTCAGCTGTCAGCAGTCCTCTAACCAAAGAAGAAAGTAAACACACAATTTTTTAGTAGGAAGTGCTTTTTAAAGGATTCATGTCAGCTCTGAATGTATACTTTCTTCTTTGGACGGTCTTACAATGTGTGGTATGCAGTATTTACCTCTCTATTTTTACCTTAATTTTTATTAACATTTCCTAATGGCATTCCTTATTTACGTAATCGTTTGCAGCTGCTTTGCTCACCTGTTTCTCAGGCCCCAGGAGTTTTATTATAATTTCCTTCTGAGCCCTAGGGCCAGGAGGAATGTGTTTAAGTACTCAGCAGACTCTCCGGGCTCTGGAATCTGAAGGAGATTCAGTAGTGGCTTTCGGCAAGATGTTTCTTCCCCATCTTCCCTGACCCTGTGTCCATCACTTTCCTGCCGGACATGGGGAGACCTCTCCCTCTGAAGTGTGGGACCCTGTGGTTGGAATAGCACAGCTTTTGTCCCGTAACCAGTCATGGGATTTGCTGAGGCGGCCCCGACATTCCTTCCCACTGCCCCTGGCCCCCCCACTCCGCCCTTTCCAGCCAAAGCTTCAGATTAAACATTCGATTAAAAATCAGATCTGGATTTTTTGTTTTGTTCTTTTTCCCAGTGCCCCTGACAAGTCAATCGAAGCATTGTTCTTGAAAATCCTCACTCTTGGGTTTTCTGTGTGAGCCAGAATTAGTCTTTTTTTTTTTCACCCTGTAAAGTTGTAAGCCAAGGCTGAACTATTTCAGCAATGTCGTCTGCAGTGGGCACTGTCCAGAGACTGGGTGTGCAAAACTCTCTAGGTCTCTAACCAGTCCCCACCGCGAAGTCTGGACCTCTACACCCATGTGCTCCCAACACACCTGAGTGGCCTTGACAGAGCGGCTCTAGAAATGACCACATTCTAGCCAGACTTACCCGGTGTCCCTGCGGTCAGACCCTGGATCTCCAGTCCAAAATTCGTCCCAAGTGCATTAATCTGCTGAAAAATGCCAAAGGTGTGTGGCCCTCCGTGAATTACCTGGACCATGTGGTGTTCATGGCTTCTTCCGCTGGAAAGCCAGCTGATCAACCAGCCAACGTGAGGGGACACCTTCTCTGGAGGTCTAGGAGAAGCCTGCGGCCTGGGGATGGGCCCAGACTCACGGGGGTGGGTTAACCTCAGGGTCTGTTCTGCGCCAGCGGGTCAGTGCCCGGGACACTAGAAGGGCTCAGCGCATCTTGGGGTCGTGCCTGGGACTCTCCCAGCGTGTGCACGCGTGTGTGCGTGTGCGCGCGTGTCTGTGTGTGCGCGCGAGTGTGCGTGTGCGCGTGCAGGGAAGGCGGCACGCAGGCAGCTCTAACAGAGGGCGCAGCCCCGGGAGGCCCCCTCCGCCTCCAGCCCCCGCACACCCGCGCTCTGGGCGCCCCAGGCTGGAGCGCGCGGCCGAGCGGAGCCGAGCGGGCGCGGCGGCGCGGGGGTGGGGCCGGAGGAGGCGAGGGAGGGAGCGAGCGGGCAGGAGGAGGATCCGGGAAGTTCTGGGGTTATTTGACAGCAGCCGGCGAAGCCGCACAGGACGCGGAGGGCCGCCGGGTGCGGAGGGCAGCGGGTGGAGTCGGGCGCCCGGAGCGCGGGGTGAGGACCGCTGCGCCCCGCTCCCCGCCGCCGTGCCGCGCGCGTCACCATGCTGCTCCCGCAGCTCTGCTGGCTGCCCCTGCTCGCCGGGCTGCTGCCGCCGGCGCCCGCGCAGAAGTTCTCGGCGCTCACGGTGAGTCGTCCCGCGCGGACCTGGCAGGCTAGCCCCGACTCGGTCCGCGCCTTGTCCGGCCCGAGCGCCTGGGCGCGGGAAGCAGGTGACCCTGGGGAACGTGGCGCCGCCTCCCGCCTCGGGGTCCGAGCAGGTGAGGCCCAGGCCGGTCCGCAGGCGGCTGCGTGGGCTTCTGGGGTCTCTCCGCCGCGTGGGGGTGCTCTGGGGTCCTGCGCGTCCAGCTGGCTGGTGGGCAGGGCCCGGCGCGGACACAGGGCTGAGGACGCCGGCGCCGCCCCGCGGACTGTCCGAGGGCCGCCCCGCCGGGGACACGCTCGCCCACTCACTGCTGTCCCTCCGGCCTGGGGCGGGCTCGGCCTTGCGTCCCTCTGTCACTTGGGCCCTGGGGGGGCACCGCTCGGACCTGCGGCCGCTTGACTGGGAAAGGAGCTGCTTGTCTTGGGCGCTACTCCTGAGCCCCCTTTGGCTCGCCTGCTTGTCCCAGACACCCTCCCCAAGTGAATCTCGGAGGAAGCAGATGACATTAAAATAAATATTATTTTCCCTCGTGTCAGCCGGCAGAAGTTGGGGGACAAGGCGTCGTCTCCATGTCCCGCAGTCCCCTTTCCCTGGTCCTCTCTTGGTCCGGGGGCTGCGCGCAGGCAGGCGCGCTCCCGAGCGCGTGGGTCACCGCGGTTGACCTTGACCGCTGTGTGTTTTTCTTTCTTAGCTGAAACTTCTCTGCAGCAGCCTTGGCCGGCAGCGCGCGGGGCCAAGCCCGGAGCTCCGTGCAGGGCGCGAGCCAAGCCACCCGCCGCTGGCCGGGCCGTGTCTGCAGCCCCCAGCTCGGGCAGACCTCGTGGGCTTGCTGTGTTTGCAAACCCATAATTAATGCAATCTGCAGAAACGAAAACATTCCACTTAAATGTGTTTTTGAACAAGTGCTTGAGAAAACACGAAGGTGGAGAGAACACCTCTGATGGAGAGATGATTGAAGTAGTGGGGCTTGTCCTGAAGGGGTTTATTGTATGGAAAACACCTAAGGTCTGAAAGGAGCTGTGGTCGGGCTCTGCTTTTCAGCAAGTCTGAAGCAGTGCTGTGAGCCTTTTTCTTTCTTTCTCTCTTTCTTTCTTCCTTTTCAAGCAGTATGAGGGGAACGATGTTAGTGAGTTCACTGTTCATACTTAAAATTCTTCTGGAGCAGCCCTTGGGTCCCTGCCTTGTGTCTTGCAAATGACTTGTAGATTAGAAACTGCTCCCTGGAAGCTCCACGGCAGTTTCCCCAGGCTCAGCTTTCCTCCAGGACAGCTATCACCCGGAGAGGCTGTCAAACTCCACTTCCTGTGGGTGCCCCCCGCCCCGTGTGTCCACAGCCACAGTACGTACACACAGGCACACACACAAGTACCAACAGACCCCTCCCGCTCAGAGCACATGGAGGCTGCAGAGGAACGGAGCAAATCTCCAAAGAAGACACTGGCCTTTTCTCCCAGAGCTGGGAGAACCAGCTTTCCTACCCTTGCCATGAATTTTCTGACCGTGTAAAAGGTAGACCCCCATGGGCCCGCTCTCTGGGAGCTCCTGGATCTGTTGGCACCTCTCTGGAAAAGCAAAAGCAAGAAGGTTTGTTATTAAATCTCTAGGTTCTCTTCCTTTCCCTCCCGGCCACTCTTGTGTGTAACTTACTTGGAACGTCTTGTCCTTTGCTTCTTGGGATGCTCCGTGTCTTTCCCGGCTGCAGGGGCCCTGGCTGCCTGCCTGGGGAGTCCAGTGTGGACCAAGGCCCCGTACTACACTCTCACAGAAGACCTTTGCCTTGAATCTGCACTTGCAAAGACGATGCATGATGCTTTCACGACCAGAGGGATATTTTAAAGCCCTAAAAGATTTTGGCATATCCCACCCCCCATCCCACCCCACAGTCCAGGAATTCAGCAAGTCGGCTGAGGCGTCCCGAGGGAGTGTTGGATGTGCTGGATCTTTGGCGGTGATCACCTCTTTCCAGATCACTTTCTAGTATTTGGGCATCTTCTGTTTCCTCGACAAGATTTACACCTGATCTTTAATCAGTCAGAAAGACAGCATCGGCCCGTGGCAGCCGGGACGTCTTCTGGGTGTGTGACTGACTCTGGAGCTGTGCCTTAACTTTCTTAATCTCCAAATTCCCTATCGGCGACCTGGGGATAGAGTAATGTCTGTTGAACATGCCGTGAGGGTTAAGGATGAAGCCTTTGATACGCCCGGTGTGTGTTAGTTCTCCATTAGGATTATTCCTGATGACACCCACGCCATTGCCTGCATGACACGGTTTCGACTGCTGTGATCGTCAGCTTGGTGCTGTGTCCTTCGGGTGTGAGGGCACTGGCTACACGGTGCTGTCGCCCGTCACAGAGGCTTCGAGCACGCCGCTTTGGTCTTGGCCTGTCTGTGTGCCTCGTCCAGGCATGCCGGGGTCAATGGGCAGAGGAGAGAACGCGGCTTCCTCTGCGCCTTCTTCTGTCCCACCTTCTGTTCTGTCCTCACCTTGAAGCAGGGATCGTCCCCTACCTCTGTGGGTTGGGAGCTTGTCCCTCCGGCTTCCCAGAGCTGTGCACCGGCCCTCCTCCCTCCTGACTCGGACACTCTTTGTCCGGGGCAGTGCTATCGGCGGGGGCGGGGGCGGCTACTCCTCTGTGTGTGAGAGCGAGAAAAGGCACGTTGCCAAGTCATTCTTTAGAAATGGTGCCATGAGGACCTTTGTGTTTTTCTTATGACTTTTCTTGGCTTTGCCAGGTCTCCTGGTTATCAATCAGACTTTGGTGTTACCGGCAGTCAGCAGATGGTGGTGGTCCGTGTGTTTGATCTGCCCTCACGGGGTCTACAGCTGTTCTTTCTTTAAGAAGTAGGTACATTCTAAGGCGAGATCATGTCCATTTCTCATGGGGATGCCTGGCTTTATTTTCTTCATAAAAAATGAAAAGATTTAATCAATTTATTTGGGAGAGCAGGGGGAGGCGTAGAGGGGGAGGGAATAGGAGGTGGGAAGAATCTTAAGCAGCCACCCAGGTGCCCACCTCCTCGTACTTCTGTGAAGGCTGAGACTACGGGCTACTTTGCGGTCGAGGTCACCTGGGCGCACGGAGCACGTGCCTGTGGTCACCACTTCACTTTGTCGCGGGTGTCGTTGCACGGGTGCTAGTGGTCGGACGGCACACCTGCGCCTGAATGCTTTCTGCATGGGCGCTGAGGTTCCTGGACCCCCTTCCCACAGGATTTGAGAAGGAGCCGGTGGGTTCCTTTGAGACCGACTGAATGGTGTTGTGCCCACACGCCAGAGGCAGACGCCTTGCCCTTCCCTGGGCCCAGCAGGCGCTGCCGGTGTCCCGGGCTCTCCTGCGGGAAGCGGCTGTGAGCACCTGCGCTCCGCACTCTGCCGGGGCCCCTTGTTTGTGCTGCTCACGCGACACCTGCCACTGCCCACCCACAAACGTCCTGTTGCACCCAGTTCAGGACACGGGGGAGCTGCCCCTGGCCCTGAGCTGACGGAGCCATTTCCAAATTCAACCTGCATTTGTTTCTCTTCCTTTGGGGGATGGGTGTTCCCGGAGCTAACTTCCGTGTCCCCTTCAGGGACCTGGAATTCCTCAGTGTTGTTTTCCTCCCACCTTCCTGCTCAGGACTCACCAGTCAGGGCCGTGGAAGGACAGAGTCCAAATGGCTGTTTGCGGCCCCCGCATGCACTTCTTTGCTTTGGAAGAGGGGGACAGAAACGGAAAGACGGTATTTGCTCATCTGTAAATTTTAAAATATTTCATCATGAGCACGCCCACGGGGGGACCTGATATTGATGTCACGGGAGCATCGGCACCAAAGTGTCCCCACATTTCCCAGCCACGAGGGTGAGATGTGCCCGCGGAGTTTCAGCGCCGACCACTCAGGGTCAGGGACTTCAGGCGACGACCCTGGGTGTTTGTTCTCCTCCTGCTGTGCTGCAGATGCCCTGAGCAACGTGTGGTGCTCTGGGAGGGCTGGGCTCATCACCAGCCCGAGACTGACCACTGACTGCAGAGGTGGACGGGGAGGAGGAAAGGAAACGCAACTGACGGTTTCCAACTAGAAGCCCTTGCATGTGACTGAACCCCAGCATCTGGAGGGTCACTTGAATTTTGGTTTGATATCAAGACCATAAATGAAACCATAAGTAACTTCAGGTCCTGAGAGGATTGTGTAATAACTGGGCGCTGATGTGACAGCGGCTCAGGACAGCAGATTTCTAGGTGACTCTGCATCAAAATGCCTTCAGGAGCCTCCCGGATCTAGGGGGGCTGCAGTTAGGGTAGCAGAGCACTGGGAGAGAGAGCAAGGTGACATTTACACATTTTGAATTAAAATTATACCGTTCTCCACATACCAGACACACACCAAAAATGACTGATGGATTTCTAGTGGGATTTTGAAATTGAAGAAGAAAAATTGAGAAATAACATTCTGAGCTCATTTATAGGAAACTAGAACGGTCCCCTCCTGTTTTACCGATCGGTGGTGTTGGTGGTAGGGCGGGATCCCACTATTAACATTTGTACGTGCTTAGAGTTTGAAAAGAGCTTGATGCATTAGATATTTAACTGAAACCTGCAAGAGGAAAGAATTCAGAAAATAAAATCCTAATTTCATATGGGCCAAGAAGAAATTATTCTAGAAGCATTAATAACAGACGGTCTTATGTGGTTTTGTAGCCCCAGGCTGGAAATCAAAGAGCAAAGATTCGTAATAACACACACACAAAACCTGGAGCCCAGTGAAATGTTAACGCGTTTGTACTGTCAGAATTTTAAAAAGACATTGTAAGTGGAAGCTTGCGTGCTGTAATATCTGGCTCAGTTTAATTAGAGGCTTTGACACGAGGGCAGCCTCAGAGTGACTAGAACCACGGTCATGTTCCGATTTTGTGATTTTGTTGTGGATGAGCTAATGCGGCGTGTGGCCCACAAAGCTGGCCCCGGAGACGAGCTGGAATGTCCGGGAAGTGACCTCTCCTTTCC